GGAGAGTAATTTTTTTTTTTTTTTTACCGATTCCTTTCCATTATTCCTTATTATTATTACTAGTATTTTTACCCGTGCGATGCACGGAATTGAATTGTTGTAATATATTAAGAATATTTAAATCGATATATAATTATTTAAGAGTTAATTTCACCAGAGGTTGTTTATCTTTTCTGACAATTCCAAATTTAATCCTACACTATAGTTATTAATTATTACAATTTATTCTATGTTATAACTCTTACGTTAATATTCTTACTATTATTATTAACACTTAATTACTTTTAGATATTATTATTACCACTTATATTATTATTATTATTATTATTATTATATTATTATTATTATTATTATTATTATTATTATTATTATTATTATTATTATTATTATTATTATTATTATTATTAGTTTCTTTTCAAGTACTGTTAGTATATAATGATCGTGAGGCACAATAATAATATAACCATAATTAAATATTCTTATATTGTATTCGGGAGTTAATGTCATTTTTGGTCCTAGACTTATTGAGGCATTGACACTTTTCATCCTCCATAATAAAAATTGCCACTTAGTAGACACTGTTATTGGTCGTTGGACAGTTTTGATCTTCCGTCAATGAAGCCGTTTGTTGACCGTGAATTAGAAGGGCTTTTCTGTCTTTTTATGTCTTATTCTTCTAATCTTGTTTAGACCAGCGCTGCTGTGACTCCTGTGAGGCGAGATGGCGAGACTTGGCGGCTAAGTAGTAACCGTCGGTAGTGAGTAGTAGCGAGGTTCTTCTCCGGCGAGTTGTGGGTACGGCGGCGAGCATACGAGGCAGTAACTCCTTCCAGCGACGGACCAGTAGAGCAGATCTGGCGGTGCAGCAACAGATCCGGCGAGGTTGGGGCCTTCACTGGTGGTTTTTGGTTCCGACGAAGCAGAGAGGGCAGCAGGTCGGCGAACCCTCCTATGGTAAATAGCAGTTGTAGTTGTAGATGACGTGATGTAGAATTTGCACCTGTAAGTCCTCCTTTCCATATTGACCACAAATATCCTTCCCATTTCTCTCTCTCTCTCTCTGACCACAACTACTTGGTGCACAACCTCAAAAACTCTGTTATTCTACCTGAAATTCATTGAAGTTTCAAGTTGAAAATGTGGAATCCGCCGCTCCCCAAAAATCGCATTGTCTGAGGTGTTGGAATGACCGGTGTTGACTTCCTGGCTGCTGTAGCTTCATTCCCCAACCCAGATGATAAAATTCGGAGCACCAGCTTTGAGGTTCAAGGAGGTGGTAACACTGGCAATGCTTTGATAAAACCCGGATGATAAAATTCGTCTTGGTCTTAATCCAAGGATCATATCTAAGGTTGCTGATGACTCGCATGGCGAAAGAATACTTGATGAGCTTGAAAGGGATGGTGTTGATACATCTTTTATGGTGGTGTCCAAAGGAGGAAACTCACCATTCACATATGTCATTGTTGACAACAAAAAAAAAAAAGGCAACTCGCACGTGCATTTTCACTCTAGGATATCCACCCATGATATCTGAGGGTCTACATACCCAAATCAAAATTGTCTTCAGCGCTTGGAGTAAATATTATCTACTTAGATGGAAGGCTGCATGAGACTGCTTTGATTGTAGTGCAGGAGGCAAAGAGTAGGGGCATATCTATTATAGTTGATGCAGAAAGGTTAAGGGAGGGGTTGGGTGATATTCCTGACTTTGCTAGTTATGTTGTATGCTCGACAAAATTTCCACAGGCATGGACTAACGCCCTTTCTATTCCAACTGCACTTGTTTCCATTATTTTGAGATTGATGTCAAATGTAAAATTTGTGATTGTTAGTTGGGTGAAGATGGTTTCTTAATGTTAGAAAGGACTGAAGCAGATAACCTCAGTTTGAAGAAATGGATGTAGCAGTGACCAATGGATGGAGAAATACAAGGATTAGAACATAAAAAGACAGAAAAACCCTTCTAATTCACGGTCAACAAACGGCGTCATTGACGGAGGATCAAAACTGTCCAACGATCAATAATAGTGGCTACTAAGTGGCAATTTTTATTATGGAGGATGAAAAGTGTGAATGCCCCAATAAGTCTAGGACCAAAAATGACATTAACTCTTGTATTCCATGAGTCACAATAATAATATAACAATAATTAAATATTGTTCAATTCTATATTCTTCTAAGATTTCTATTACCATCATTAATTATTCCCAAATTTACCATAATTAAATAATTTGACCAATTATAAAGAAAGATTATTAAATAATGCACGGGACAATTGTTTAATTAAAAATTTTAAAAATTCACTAATAAAACATAAGGTTCTCATACTTTTTTCTTAGAAACTCTTTAATAAAGTATTTTTTTTTTTAGAAATTGGTCGGCCAAACCGCCTACGGCAGTTTGCAGTGGATAGATCTCGAATAAATACGCGATTTCAAAAAAACATTTGTCCAAAACGGACAACGGAGTCAAAAGTTATGCCTTGCCGGACATTTGACACTTTACAACTTAAAAAAAATAAAAATTAAAGGCCGGTTCAGCCGGCGAGGCGGCTGCTGAGGAGGCTGATTCCGGCCTTCCTCGCCGCGGCCAGCGACACGATTTTTGCAACACTGATATATAAAATAGCTATAGATTAAAATATGAATAGTATTACACAATTTTACAATATTACAATTAAATTTTAATCCAGAATTATTGTGTAGAAATCAATATATTTTATTAGGAAGAGAGATTTTTTAGGAATTGCGCGGAAAGTTAAAATTTAAGGATTTTGTTTTTTTATATATAGTCTAGATTGAATTACACTATTTTATAATATTAGAATAGAATTTTAACGCAGAATTTTTGTACGAATGGGAAAATAGAAATCAATATATTTTATTAGGAAGATAGATTTTTTAAGAATTGCGCGGAAAGTTAAAATTTCAGGATTTTATTTTTTATATATAGTCTAGATTGAGTTACACTATTTTATAATATTAGAATAGAATTTTAACAATGAATTATTGTACGAATGGGAAAGTAGAAATCAATATATTTTATTAGGAAGAGAGATTTTTTAGGAATTGCGCGGATAGTTAAAATTTCAGGATTTTTTTTTTAATATATAGTATAGATTGTATTACACTATTTTATAATATTAGAATAAAATTTTAACGCAGAATTTTTGTACGAATGGGAAAGTAGAAATCAATATATTTTATTAGGAAGAGAGATTTTGTAGGAATAGGGCGGGAAGTTAAAATTTCAGGATTTTGTTTTTATATATAGTATAGATTAAGTGTTTAGACGGGGAGTTGTAAAAGTAGGATTTTTGTTTTTATTAGTAGTATAGATAGATTACGTTGCTGGGAAGTATATGTATTGCACAATTACAATTAGTAATATTAATCTAGAATTGTATTACGAATAGGAAAGTTGGAAAGAATATATTGTAATGGGAAAGTAGGAAAGAATATATTGTATTAGGAATTATATTACCATATTTTAATGTACAATTATAGTACGAACAGGAATTGTATTACCATATTTTACAATATTATATAAACCTTAATAGTATAAGACTGTTTTGGGCGAAAAAGTTGAAGTGGAGGATTTTACTTTTATTAATAGTATAGAAGTATAGATATATATCGGTGTAAAATCAGTATTCGAATTACTATTATTGGTGTAAATAAAAATTAATAAATCATTATTTCCTTATAAATTTACGTTATTACGCAGAATTTCCAAAGAATATTACTAATTAATAAATATTAGTTAATTTCCATATAATATTTTGTAATAACGTAACTTCATTAATTCTTTTACTAATAAATTAATTAATTGATATTAAGAAAAGTTTAAGTGGGAAAGTTGAAGAGGAAGATTTTATTTTTATTAATAGTATAGATTGATGTAAAATTATTATTCGAATTAGTATTATTGGTGTAAATAAAAAATTAATGAATCATTATTTTTTTTTTTATAAATTTACGTTATTGCGCAGAATTTCCAAAGAATATTACCAATTAATAGATATTAGTTAATTTTCATATAACATTTTGTTACCAATAAATTAATTAATTAATATTAAGAAAAGTTTGAGTGGAAAAGTTGAAGAGGAGGATTTTACTTTTATTAATAGTATTGATTGGTGTAAAATTAGTATTCAAATTATTATTATTGGTGTAAATAAAAATTAATAAATCATTATTTCCTTATAAACTTACGTTATTAGGCAGAATTTCTAAAAAATATTACCAATTAATAGATATTAGTTAATTTCTATGTAACATTTTGTTACCAATTAAACTTTATTAATTATTTTACGAATAAATTAATTAATTGTGTTTTGTTTTGCGTGCCAAAGTTGTCCACATAATTTGCACATAAGTAGTACTGCATAATTTGCATTGCATTCACATTAAATGTGGTCGGTCGTCCAGAACTGCATCCAAATCTCCATCTGTGATGACGTCGTGAGCGTAGAGATATTATGCTAATTCTTGCAATGTTACAGGATGGATCTAATTGGTAACAAAGGGAAGTTTAAACCCTAGCTAATTGATACCAGATGAAAACAGAATGAATGATATTGAGTAATATGATCACAAATTAAATGTGCAGATTACATGCATATATAAAGAGAGAGTCTCAGGAAGACCGAGATAGTGAATCATAATTCCTAATAATATATATATATATATATATATATATATATATATATATATATATATATATATATATATATATATATATATATATATATATATATATATATAAAGGAAGTCGGTTCTTATCAAAAATAAATATCAAAATCATTTTTCAGCCACAATATTCTACGATGTCGTTTTCCTTTAGCTTATAAAGTCTGATTTCAAAATTTTTATTTCTCTCGCCTATTTAGATTGTGATAAGATAGTTGTGATCTTACTCCTACAATTTAGGGTAGTGGGCTATTATCTACTCCATATTTAGTGTTGTAATCAGATTGGGTTGCGTGTAGAAGTAGTATGGATGGGTATGAGATTGCTTACAAGTACATGCACTCTATTATTATTTATACATTGCTCCCACTCACTTCTGCGGCTATAAATACATGCTTATTGTGAGTGTTGAGCTTCAATGCAAAAACAAAGCTAAGTGTGGTAAATTACAAGGTTGAGATTGCTGATCCCTTATGCAATTCAAATAGAAATCTAAGCTGTCAAAGATCCTGTTTAATGCTCTGTTTTCTGTCTTGCAGTGTCATCATGTCTGACCAGTTTATTATGGGGGGTCAGCTTCATCCTCAGCAAACTTCAAAGGCTATAAGGTTGTGTTGTGTGCGTTCTTACGTTGTTACTGAAAATAAAGGTAAAAAGTTAATAAGAAGTCAAGAATGTATATTTCATGATCAAGAGGTTTGTCAATTATATCTATATCTACCATTGTTTGAATTCTTATTCTTATGTTTGGCACCTCTTATATTTTTAATATCTAACTTTGTTGTTTACCACTTTTGTTCTAAATACAGGGTCTGTTCATCCACGTCCATATACCTAAGGATGTTGTGGCAAAATATAAGAACATATTCAAGGAGGGTAAAGTGTATGGCATTAGAAACTTCCTATGCATCACTAACTTCTTCAAGTATAAAACAAGCCCTCATCGTTACATGATGAAGTTCAAACATGATACACTTGTGAAGGAATATAAGCGTGTGAATTTCCCCAAAACAATGTTTTGCTTCAAGAGTTTTGAAGACATACTTTCAAAGCAGGGAATTGATGAGAAAGTCTTGATAGGTTATATTTAAAAAAAAAATTCTAAAGTCAAATATGATTTATTACCTCTATTGTGATGTTATGTTTTATTTAACTACTATGCTTTTTTTTTTTTTTTTTTCTAAATTCAGATGTCCTTGGTCGTATTGTGGAGATATATTCTCCATTGGAGAAGCTAATAGCAGGGAAGAAGGCTAGACTAATTGACTTTGTGCTTGAAGATTCTAGGTATGGATCCTAATTTGTCTCTCTAATTTTGATTTGAAACTTCTATCTTATGCTTTTTCTGCTGGTCTTAAAATGGTATGTAGTCAGAGGCAGATTAAGTGTACATTGTGGGATGAGCATGTGGATCAACTGATGAACAAGGAAACTGATAATCATTAGAATAACTGAATCAGATTACAATTAATACTCTCAGGAGAGAGAGAACTATCTAATAACCAATTGACTAGGACTAAACTAGAATACATTGACTAGTGACATTAATAATAATAATAATAATAAACTATAGTCTAACACTCCCCTGCAAGCTCAAGGAGGATGACTCACCACATTGAGCTTGGAACGAAGAATAGCAAACCGCGCCGAAGGAAGCAGCTTCGTAAAAATGTCAGCTAGCTGGTCTTTAGTGGAGACGAAGTGAACCCGGAACTCTCCAGACGAAACTTTATCTCGAACGAAGTGGTAGTCAACTTCAACATGCTTAGTACGCGCATGAAAAATTGGGTTGGCGCATAAGTATGTTACACCAAGGTTGTCACACCATAGAGTCGGAGGGGTAGCCGAGTCGAGACTTAACTCACGAAGTAAAGATTGAACCCACGTCACCTCTGCACAGACGTCTGCTAGACCTTTATACTCGGCCTCAGTGGATGAACGGGCTACTGTGCGCTGCTTCCTCGAGACCCACGAGATGAGGTTGGTACCGATGAAGACAACATAACCACTGGTGGACTTGCGATCTACTGGACACCCAGCCCAGTCAGAATCCGAGTAGGCATGAATTTCCGAGGTCCTGGATGGTGAGATGCGGAGCCCGTAGTCAAGAGTTCCTTTTATGTAGCGAAGAACTCGTTTAAGTAAACCCCAATGCTCCTGTGTGGGACTGTGCATGAACTGACACAGGCGATTGACCGAGTAGGATATATCTGGCCGAGTGATGGAAAGATACTGTAGTGCCCCTGCGAGCCTCCTGTACTGTGTGGGATTATCGAACGGCTCGGTGGACTGGCTAACTGACTGAGTGATGGATGCAGGTGTGGCTAATGGTTTGCAATCAGTCATACCAGCTCGTTGCAAAATGTCGCGTATGTACCGTCGCTGTGTGAGAAGCATACCATCTGGAACTGTGATGGTTTCTATACCGAGGAAGAACGTGGGTGGTCCAAGATCTCGGATTTTAAATGCTGTTGCCAACCGCTGTAAAAGAGACTCAACTAAGACAGCATCATTCCCAAGCATGATGATGTCGTCGACATACACAAGCAAAAAAACTCGGGAACCTGCAGCTGAATAATAAAACAGAGATACATCCGTTTTGGATGCAACAAACCCTGTTTCCAATAAGAAATCATGTAGACGATGGAACCAGGCCCGCGGGGCCTGCTTGAGCCCATATAAGGACCGCTGCAAGTGACAAACATGATCGGGATGATCAGGATCCTCATATCCTGGTGGTTGGCGCATGTAGACAGTCTCGGATAAGTGGCCATTCAAGAAAGCGTTGTGGACATCTAGCTGGCGTAGAGTCCACCCGCGTGATATGGCAAAAGATATTAATATCCGGACTGTGGTCGGTTTAACCACAGGGCTGAACGTCTCAAAAAAGTCTTCGCCTGCAACCTGGTTAAAACCCTTGGCTACCAGTCTCGCCTTGTAGCGCTCAACCGAACCATCGGCTTTGCGCTTGGTGCGAAACACCCATTTGCAACCTACAATGTTCATATTCGGTGTAGCAGGCACCAGCTGCCACGTGTTGTTATGTAGTAACGCGTTGAACTCTTGGTCCATAGCGTCCCGCCATTGTGGATGCCCAACTGCTTGGGAGTAGCAAGTGGGGTCCGTAGTCGAAGCTGTGAGAGCATGTAGTTGTTCTCCAGTCCCTTTTGTCATACGCCTCAACCGCATGACATGGGCCCTCTCCTGGGGCTTGGCTCGTATGGACCTTTTCCTCGGGGCACGAGTTGGTGCCCGGGGAACCAAAGTCGTCGGTGCACTCGGTGGTGGTAATGGTGGAATGTTAGTATTCCCACTTTGGAGGACGGGGCAGGAGCCCCATGGTGTACTTGAGATGTCCGTAGGCACCTCCTGAATTTTGTGTGTATTTCCTGCAAAAGGGAAAACGGTTTCGTCAAAGCGAACATGACGACAAGTATAGGTTTTCCCGGTGTTAAGATTCATGCAGCGGTAACCCCTAAAAGACGGAGGGTAACCTAAGAATACACAAGGACTTGACTTGTACTCGATTTTGTGACGATTATACGGGCGTAGATAGGGAAAACAAAGGCACCCAAACACACGTAGATATGTGTACGTGGGAGGGACTTTGTGCATGCGGTAATAGGGTGTATCAAACTGTAGTGAGGCAGACGGAAGGCGATTAATCAGGAAGGTGGCTGTTTCAAACGCATGATCCCAATAACATTGTGGGACCGAGGCTTGAGCCATTAACGCCAAGCCAGTTTCGACAATATGCCGATTCCGGCGTTCAACACGGCCATTTTGCTCGTGTGTATAGGCGCAGGATTGTTTGTGAACAATCCCTAATTTATCAAATAGCTTGTGTAATTTTTGGTATTCCCCCCCCCCCCCCCCCCCCCCCCCAAATCGGACTGAATGGACTTGATAGAACACGAAAAGGTGCGTTCTACCGTCGCCCGAAAAACATCGAAAATCTTATATATATATCGGTTTTAAGATGTAGAGGATAATACCAACAATAGCGGGTGTTATCATCTACGAATAATACAAAATAGCGGGAGCCATCCGCGGAAATAATTGGTGCGGGGCCCCATATATCTGTGAAAACTAAATCGAGTACATTATTACTAGACTTGTCTACCCTATCTAAAGGAAATCGGGCAGACTTGCCAAGTTGACACGGGGAACATAATTTGGGAACCGCAACATTATTTGACTCAACGGGACATTGTTGTAGAACACGCTGTAATGCTTGACTGTGTGGGTGACCGAGACGCTGGTGCCAAACCAGGGACGTGGCACGAGCCGACACGAACGCATAATGAGCACTGGGAATAGACAACGAATACAAGCCCCCCGAGCTTGGCCCTTTAATCAAAACCGCCTTAGTGATGCAGTCCTTCACAACAAAAAAATTGGGGTGAAACTCAAAAAAGCAGTTATTATCTTTAGTAAATTGATTAACAGATAATAACGACGCGGACAGTTCAGGGACATGCAAAATTTTAGATAATTGTAAGGATTTATTTAGAGACGGAATTGCTGCATGACCCACACGCGAGATGGCCAAACATCGTCACCATGGTACTCCTCGGACTGCGTGAGAACACTGGAGTTCGGCGTGGCATGCACTGATGCTCCTGTATCCGGCAGCCAGGTTGTCACCGCAGAAGGGGCTGCTGACATCGATCCGCCTCCTGCTACGGAGACGTGCGCCGTTGGTGGCGGTTCGGAGTATCTCCGGTAACAAAAAGCCGCGGAGTGCCCCTGCTTACTGCAGATTTGGCAGCGCACCCCGCCACCATTCCGGCCGCAACCGCCTCTGCCGCCGCGCTGGTTGCTGCGCCCACCGCCGCCACGCGACTGCCGGCCGCCATCTCCTTGCTAACGACGACCGCGTCCCGCGTACATTGCGGAGGGATTCCCGGCCGATGCTGCTGGGGAATGCGCCGGGAAGTCATCCTTGTGGATGAACTGTTGTGCTTGAAGATAGTCCGCCAGCTGTGGAATCGACACCGGCGTGCCATTGATCGCCAACGCGGAGGCCATAGCGCGGAACTCAGGCCGCAGTCCCCGAAATACATAAAGGTTCTGCTCCGATGGCGTGAGCGATCTCCCGGCCAGTGCAAGGTCCTGAACAAGGTGCTGCGCCCCTCCCTAAGTATTCGGAGGTGGAGCTATCGCCTTGACGGAGAGACTGAATCTGCCCGAGCAGATTCAGGCAGCGGACTTGCGTGGATGATCCTAATGCTGTCTCTGCGGCTGTCCAGACACCACGTGCGGTGGTTTGCCCGAGCGCGAGGTACATCACCTCCTCAGACAGGGAGGAGATCAGCAGGGAGAGGATGGACGCATCCTGTTGCACCCACATAGCGTAGGCCGGATTCTCCGTGGTTGAGGCACCACCACTTGATGTGTCGCCGGCAGGGAGCTCCAAAAACGGCGAAGGCTGTGACCGCGTGCCATCAATGAATCCCAATAATCCTTGACCCCGAAGGAACGGGATCACCTGCGTACGCCAATATAAGTAGTTCCTGTGGGTGAGTTTGAGCGAAACAAAATGGTGCGCGCTCGTTAGGGAGGTGGAATTGTGTGGGGAGGAGATGGTTGTAACAGTGCGTTCGGAACTACTAGACATGGTGGTCGACGGAAGGTGGGGAAAAATTAGAGAGAATTTTGCCCGGCAAACTGATACCAGATGAACAAGGAAACTGATAATCATTAGAATAACTGAATCAGATTACAATTAATACTCTCAGGAGAGAGAACTATCTAATAGCCAATTGACTAGGACTAAACTAGAATACATTGACTAGTGACATTAATAATAATAATAATAATAATAAACTATAGTCTAACACAACTAACTCCATACTTCAACTCAGTTTCTAAGGATCCAGTTATACTGTTGATTCAGCTCTGCAGAGCTAAATTCATCGACAGCGAGTTATATCTCTATTTACTTCTTCTATGTTTTTGATTTATCCATTTCCCTCTATTTTACATTATTAGTAATTACTAATGAGTAAACTAAATGAAAACTGGCTCCGAATATTAAAAAAAAAAAAAACAAAAAAACAAACAAACAAACAAACTAACACATGAGACTGTTGCAGTCATTAGTAAACAGCCATTAATAAATAGTGATACATAAGTAAACAGTCATTTATAATATGCCCAAAACAATCAGAAATAAATAGTTTAGAATAAATAGGCAAAACTAGTCATTTTGCAGTCAAAATTATGTCATATTCACTACTTTTATTGTTCAGATGGTGAAGTGCGCATTTGCAGTTCATTTGATGCTACTCAACTGTTTTTCACACACTCATGCAAAGAATTCCGTGAGTAAAGGAGCAGGTTAGTTTTTCTAATATATTTTTAGTGTTCTGCTTAATAACTCAATTGTGTGTTACTAATTTTTATTTACATGTTCTCTATTATTAGCTTTACCAGTAATCATA